GGTGCATGACCCCCTGCATTGCATTTTGGCAATGAATTAGGATTGATATTTACTTGAAAACAATTGATTGCCAAGGGTGTTAGTGGCCACATGTGTGTTCTGCAGAAGAAATGGCAGTTTAACCCTCAAAACAGTGCATCTGTGTGTGGGTCTAAAAGTAAAAATTTACCGTAGCTGGAAACTCTCAGGTTGGTACTTCGGTACCGCGGTACCCAACTCCTTTCCACAACAAGCTTCCAGCTTCGCCAGTCTCTGCTTTGTTGATGTTCAATTTCCTCAAGTTCTAGACAACTTTCGTATTTTAGGTTTTCAATCTATGATGTGGGAGGCCCTTTATTTTTTCTTAGCTTCTGTTTTCCCCTATAGCACAGCTGTTATCAGGTCTGTTTTTATATCTTTTTATCGTGTTATATGGCAGACAAACTGTCACACTATTTAATTAATTAATTAATTAATTATGCCGGTCTGTGAGCCGGCACTTGGGTCGGGAGCACAAGTCAGCGTATTATAGTCACACCTGGGGCTCTCTGGCCTAGAGGTTAAGGTTGTTCTCCTCTCATTCAAAGGTCCCGGGTTCGAATCAGGATAGAGGCGGAAAACTTTCTTCTCTAAAATTTTCTCCCTTCATGCCCTTTCCTGTTCTCTAACAATATTCTGTCATCTGCTTTTGTCTCCCCTTTCTGCCCCCCACCCCCTCACCACCTTTGCCCCCCTCCTCGCTGGGTTCCTGATTCTTTCTTCAGCCTTTCAACTGCTACTCTTAGGCTCCTTCTTAATTACTGCTATCTTTCAGCCACACCCCTGATCTTCTGGTAGGAAAGATCTACACTTTGCCTTCTCGAACAAGGGCGAAAATCTCGGAGGGCCCGTGTGCAAGTATCGCACTTTTAAGATCCATTTGTGGATCAAAAATCGACAAGAGTAGGCTTCGGTACCCACCCGGGCAAAATTCAAAATTTCCAAGAAGAAGAAGAAGAAGAAGAAGAAGAAGAAGAAGAAGAAGAAGAAGAAGAAGAAGAAGAAGAAGAAGAAGAAGAAGAAGAAGAAGAAGAAGAAGAAGAAGAAGAAGAAGAAGAAGAAAAAGAAGGAGGAGGAGGAGGAGGAGGAGGAGGAGGAGGAGGAGGAGGAGGAGGAGGAGGAGGAGGAGGAGAACAAGAAGAAGGAGAAGGAGAAGAAGAAGGAAAAGGAGAAGGAGAAGAAGAAGGAAAAGGAGAAGGAGAAGAAGAAGGAAAAGGAGAAGGAGAAGAAGAAGAAGAAGACTAAAAAGAGGAAGAAGAAAGAGGAGGAGGAGGAGCACAAAAAGAATAGACAGATAAATTATAGCATTTGTATTGAGAAATCTCAACCCAAAGCACTTTAAATTACAATCTACCATAATATAGGCCTATATAGTCTGTAAATGACATCGAAGAAACTTACAGAGGCAGAGAGGAGTTACTGGTTTGGTTTCCCAATCCATTTTTTTTTTTTTTTTGGTGGTTTTTTTGCGAGTTTTATTTTTCATCCCGAACAAAAAAAACCAAAAACTAATAATTTTAATTCACCCTCACACTTTAGACTCTGGACCCATGATGAATGGCCGACTCGACTCTAATTGATTTGGTACCACATTTGCTCCGTCTCTCCCCCCCCCCAAAAAAAATAATTAAAAATTAATAAATAAATTATTATATAAAAACAAATTAATAATTTAAAGATTATTTTTTACATTTTAAACTGCTCTCCATCTTATCTAAAAACTAGATCTATATAAACTCGCTTGTTGTGTTGTGTTTTTTGTTTTGTTTTTTGTTGTTTTTTTTGCGAGTTTTATTTTTCATCCCGAACAAAAAAAACAAAAAGTAATAATTTTAATTCACCCTCACACTTTAGACTCTGGACCCATGATGAATGGCCGACTCGACTCTAAATGATTTGGTACCACATTTGCTCCGTCTCCCCCCCCCCCCCCAAAAAAAAAAAATTTAAAATTAATAAATAAATTATTATATAAAAACAAATTAATAATTTAAAGAATATTTTTTACATTTTAAACTGCTCTCCATCTTATCTAAAAACTAGATCTATATAAACTCGCATTGCAGCTAGAGCAGTCTAGAATCGCAGTTTGCGATCAGCTGTGCACTGTCAGCTGTCCATGAGATTGACAACTGGACCGAGTCACTGAGTTTTCTACGTTGCAACAGAAGACCTACAAGATACCTACTACCGACAGTATTTCCATCCTTTGCCAGCCAAAGCCAAGACCGCAGCAGTTCAAGTATTTGCTCACAAGAGACCTTGGAATAATTAAGAGTGAGAGCTTTGCTGTTATGATGTGCATTGATAAATTTATCTCGAAGTGACTATTCGGACTCGAGTCCGAATATGAAAAATGTTGTTCGGACTCTGATTCTTGTCCAGCACGACATCACTTCCGACTTCCTGTGACTCGTGACTCCGGCTTCCTGTCCTGCCTCACTTGTGACTCGCCTCAGGCTGGGTAGAGACCGGGATCACTTCGGGCAAAATGGCGTTTTGTGCAGGAGCCAAGTTTTTATCTCATGATGAATTTGAGGCCGGCCTGAAAAGTTATAGCGCTTCTAATAAATGTTTATTTGTCAAGAGGTCATCAGAAGCAATTAAAGATGGCTCGTTAGCGTGTGTTGGGGTCGGATGGGCAGCCTGCACACGTGTGGCTGTGTGTGCGTGTCGGGGGGGGGGGGGGGGGGGGAGCACTAGCGGTCCGGGCATTGAACGTCGCATACGCGTCAGTCTTTTTTTCCCCCGGAAAT